ACAGAATCCTCCTGCCAAAAATTCACTTAGTCTTTGAGATGTGAATGAGTCTCCATTAAAAAAAGAGAAAATCCTTAGCACCTAGTGGTCAGTCCCCAAACTCTAGCGTGCATGGGTTTCTTTTGGTAACACTGGAGACCTGTCTACATGTTTTTCAACTGCCGACTTCTGAGCCCAGAGCCGCAGGGGAGTCCCTTCTTGTCTTCTGACCCCAGGCATCCAGGGCAGTGGATTAGCATTACTTTACGAAGTCCCTTACCATGAAGTCTGTCACACGAGCTGTCCCTCACCCACACCCTCCATGCCCCACCCCCATTGACTCAGGCTCTTAAAATCAGTTTTCTTATCCGTGCAAGAAAGTAAAATGATACTGAATTTCAAAGATCCCACCCGCCTCTCTAAAATCACCTTCCTCCACATTTCAACCCTCTTAACAAACCTAAGCAGCTACCTTATCCTCAAGTGGCTTTCGACCTGGAGCAATTCCTCACTCCCCACTTCTCCATTCCACCTCTTCCAGAAACCTGCAATTGGAGGAAGTTCATAAAGCGCACTATGACTAGTGTCTCCGGGCCAGGTCCTTCCACCGCCACGTCTGCGATACACCATGTGCCGGTGGGCTACGTTTGTCGAGGAGGCCCAGGAATGCTGCTTTCTGCACGTCAGTCCTTTGGGACTTCAAGTCGAACACACTCTGCCACGGAGGTGGTGCCAACCCCGTCGCAGTCAGAGGCGGCAGCTGGGACCGAGATTACGCATTAAAATATATTGTCCCATATCATATTGGTTGAAAGTTATCTCCCAGTTTGTATGGTTTTCATTTTTTGACATCTTAAAGTCTCATGTAATTTGATTTTTATGAAGTTAATCTATCTTGTCCTATGTGATTTATTCAATTGCTCTGGCATTTAAAATGTTCTCTCCAGTCTGAAGTCTAGATAAGAAGGAATTTATTTATTTTTCTTCTAAATTTGGAAAAAGTTTCCCTTCACTGAACTATTGACTTTACTAAGAGTGCACATGGTGTCACAAGGAGCCTCTGAGCCCGGAGCTACTTCATGTGACCACGCCGTTCCCTGCCCACTGCTGATTTAGGGTGCTGGTCTTAATGTTTACTCATTTACCGTGCATGCCTTCATTTTAGTAACTTCCTTCTCGGAATAAAGACATTCATAGGAAATTTAGAAATTCAGAAAACTCCAATTACATAAGGATTACTCAAAATTGCTAAGTCCACATAGTAATATTTGTGGCATTTACTCTACACATAAATATACATCATATATACATCTACCCTTAAAAGGGTTTGTCGAAAAAGATCTCTTCTGGGGTGGTTATTCTATTTTATCTATCTTTATTCATGGAGGTAGGACTAGCCTCCTGACTAGAAATTCTGGTCTTTTAGTTTTGCACCAGCAGGTCTAATGGACTTGACACCCCTCCCCCATCTTACTTTTGAAAAAGTACTTTTATAAGCCAACTAACGCCATTTAGCTTCATGGCAGGAAGAGTTGAAGAGAATTCTTTTTTAAACACAAGTTTTACTTTCATGATGACATTAGTAACACAGTTTACTGTGGGGGACTTGGAATATACTTGGTGGTAGACACCCAACACCCTGAAATAATACTAAATGACTTTAAATGACCACACAGTATTACAATATATGAATGTGACAAGTAAATTAACCAACCCTGCTGGACTAATTTTTACTCTTCTAATTCCTGAATATGTCTCCCAGTAGTTCCCTTGGAACAAAATCCTGGGTCAAAAGGAAGAACATTTAAGTTTTCTGATACACCCTGTCACGCTGCCCTCTGGGAAGAGTGTACCAATTTCCATCAACTTCCTTGACAGTGGAGGAAAAGACATTTTTTTTTTTTTTTTAATTAAAAGAAAAGGAACAAAGGGCACTGTCCAGGTTGGACAACAAGTACAACCCATCTGAGCAGGTAAAGGCATGTCCTTGATGATGACTCAGGCAGTGACCCCGTGATGGCTGTAGGACATTCCAGTGTGTCAGCAAAAGGAGACTGGGCCACTTAGAGTTAATAGACTCTTAGGAGCCAACAAAGTTTTTCTAGACACAACAAGTACAGCAAGGGAAGCCACCTTTACAAAAAGGGAAGTCCTCCCTCAAGGGGGCCAGGCTGGCTGTCTGGGGCCAACACGGTGAACTATTTATTGGGTCCTCTGGCAAAGAAGCAAGGTGCCAAGTGGGCAAACCAGCCAGTCGTAAACACCCCATGCCACGTGTCTGTCCCCTGATCCCAGGCACCGAGGGGCTGCAGACTGCGCCTGCCAACTTCCACTTCTTGCAACCACGCGCCGACCACGGGCTTGGCTGCCATGCTTCTCCAACGCAGCAGCACTTTTAGGAGATGGTACATGATGGAGGGTAGCTGTGTGCCAAGTGGTCATCACACATACAACCATTTAGAAAAACCAAACAGTGGGAGATTCTTTGCCACTATCACTGAAGTGTCATGAGTCAATGTATTAGTACAAAAAGGGAAGCCCTTGAAAGAAGACCATGACAATCAAATGACCCTGAAAACCTTCTGCTGGAATAAAAATCAGGGCCAAGACAAGAGAATTTCCTTCTACTAAGGAAAGAAAAGCTTTAAAGGCCCCAGCAGGGGATGTGCTCAGAGCAGTGACAACGGCAGCCATGCAGAGAGGGGTGCCTGAGTGGCCAGACACAGGCGGTCCTCTCATCTACACTGGATTGGGATCCTCATCCCTCTTGTAGGGTAAAGAAAGGGAGTCACTGAGATCCAGAAAGCTGGCGAAGGCTGCGGGCAGGATTCAAATATCCAGGCCTGCTGGGGCCTGGCCCATAAGCACCTCCGAGACCCCACTACCGGTCCCCTCTTGCTGGAGCTGAGGCTGACCCCCACTCCTCCCGTACTTACCGTCAGAGAGGAAAATGTCACCTGGCAAATTCCACTGAGTCAGAGAAGCTATGACAGAGGGTGTGGGCTACTTCTGAGACTGCTGAGGTGTGAAATAAACACGGACACCATTTTGTAATCAATGATTTTTGTTTTATCTTTGAAAATGGAAGCAAGTGTTTTGACAGAATACTATGGCCGCTCTATAAGAGCCGATCTAGGAGTAATTCACTGGTTCTCCTCTGGGATAGCACGGCTTTAAAAAAAAAAAAAAAAGACAAAAGAGGAAAAATAATCCACAATGCTTCAGGCACCAACTCTGAGCCTGGCTGGGCATCCATTCATTAAATAGGTCACGAGCTACACACTAAGATCAGGACAACTTTTCCTTGCCCTCCCTCTTCTCTTTAAACCACAGTCCCTGTGGTGTTTCAACACCATCAGCAACAATTTTGTTTACTTAATTAATTTGACATCGGAACCTTAAAACATTTCTGAATCTTAAAAATGAAGGTCCTCAGCAGATTACGTTGGTAAAGAAACATGTACAAGTCACTGTAATTACGGCTTTCTTTACATCTCATTATCCACTTCAATATTAAAAGCACACACACATACACACACAAAACCACACCGAACATTCAGATGCCCTGAAATTATGGAGACAGCGATCCGAGCATCAGCTGAGAACATGGCACCTCTTCTACGCAGACCCCCCCCGCCCAGCGTGGCTGTGCATGCCGACCCCATCCACACCCGGCCTCCATCCTGGTTCCCTGCGTTCAGGTGCATCCAGCCAGCCCCCGCCTCCGCACCCCACACCTGCACGAGCATTGCAAACTAGTCTCCTTCATGGTCCCAATGGCACTATACATTTCATGTTCAATCAGACACTCACTCCTTGCAAAACAGAGGCTCCTTAAATCTTGTTTCTCAAACATGCAACATGAAAACTTGGAAATGGAAAGAAGTTCTAGCTAACCCCGGGCTGGAACAGGTGATCAGAGCTCAGCCTCTGGCCCCGAAGCCTGGGGATCCTCTGTGCTTTGACGTAGCCCGGCTGCAAGCAGGAGGGGCAGAGCAGGTTAGTTTGTGTGGGGGGTGCAAAGGGACACACCTGTACCCATTAAAGCCACAGCAGAGACCTGCGTTCCTGGCCTTGCTTCATTCTAGACCATTTTCCCAAGTCTCAGTATTCAGAAGCGCCCCACTGGGCTCACCTTAGTGGGATGCAGTTAGGGCTGAAAGGCAGAAAGGAGGGAGGAAAGGCTGGGGGAACCCCGAGAAAGGGGATCACTAACATGAGGAAGAGGGAAGGGCAGGAGCATTGGTGGTGCACACAGAGCCACTTCCTCCTCCAGGAGAGCACAGGGACAGCACAGGACATGCAGGAAAGCAGGGGGTCAGAAAGGGCCAACACTCCCCTCTCCCGGTTCCCTCGCTTTTAGTCCATGTACTCAAGAGCTAGGCAAGCTGCTGAAATGGGCAAGAAGGAGCACCCCACAGTACATGCGTCGTCTTGTCCCAGGCACCCTTGTCAAGTACGGACCGAAACCTGAAACATGATGTTTAAAGTGATGAATGCAACAGAATCTGTGTATATAACAAACTGCAGAAACACATGCTAGTTTAGGTTAGGTTATAATCATCTGAAGCACAGGATAACCAAGAAGCAAAATTCCATTCTGGTACAACCACCCAATTTCTAGAAAAGGTAAAGGAAAGTAAGGAAATGATACGATAAGCATTTTTGATCAGAAGACTCAATGAAGTGAGAGGGGTGGTAATACGAATCCGCGTGATTTTTCAAGTCTTCTTTGCATAGTCATTAAGATGACCAGGTCTGTGCTGCGGACGGGCCAGCACGGTGTGGCTGCTGCTCTGATTGTTCTCGGATGAATGTTTATACAAAATAATATCTTATCTTCATTTAGTTTATAAACATACACAGTGCTGTCCCTTTCAAATTAAGGAAAAAAAAAGAAACCACACACAAATACTGCAAAGTAGCAAAATACAAAGGAAAAAAAAAAGCTACTTTTGGTTTTGGCAACATTAAAAAAAAAGAAATATAAAAAGCAATGTGGCATTGGTCCCTATTTGTTAAAAAAAAGGTACTTGGGCACGACACTGAATCAGAATTGGTTGGGTTTCTAAAATTCAGAGTATCTTGGATTTTAAAAGTAGCACTTTGTCTTTTAAAAGTTCAACAAGTCACATAAACACTTAAAACATCAAAAAAGCTTTCTGATAAAAAGCCCAGCTTTTAAATCACATTTTGTTTCTGCAAATTTGGGAGACGAATTGAGTTCTTACTGGAATGTGGCCTATCGCTGGTTGACAAATCGGAAATGAATGTCTCCAAATGGCAGTGCCTCCCTCTTGCCCTCCCTGGGACCACACCAACAACCAGCTACCAAGCACGAGTTCTTGCTCCCATTTTGAGGGGTGGGGGTGGACCTTCAGGCGGCTATCTTCGCCATCTGCTCTTCTAACTTGGAAATACGCTCATCTTGATTGCAGATTGTGTCTTTTATAGATTTGATCTCTTTTAAAATCTCATCCAACTTGGCTTCATTTTGCTAAGAAAAAAGGAGGAAAGGGAAGAGGGTGACTAAAAAGCAGTAAACAAAGTTCAAAGCAGTTGAGAATTATAAGGCATTAAATGGGACTTTCCATTTTGAAAGAGGCAAGCCATAGCTGCCAGGCTGGGCCTTAGAAGCAAGTAAGTAATGCCGGCTGGTCCATCTGATGCCCCCAGCAGAACGACAGCGCACCACAGCGCTGCTTCTAGTCCCTGTGCCCGTGCACAGGCCTGGAGAGGCTCTCAGAACACAATTAAAATGTAGGACACGGCGAATTCCTTCAAGGCTACCCTAAATCCCAACCCTGCAATTCCACCAGCAGTGGCTTCTATGTGACTGGGGTGAACTTCCAGAGGCTACAGAGCTCCTACCATCTCCCAGGGAGGAACCTTCTTGGGAGCTAAATCCCTTACCCTGCCTGCTAACTGTTCTGGAGAGCCTGAGCCTCACCCACGTGGAAATGATTCCTTTAGAAACCTTGAAATCAACCAAGTCCGTAACACTGCATCCATGCAGCTTCCTCGGTCATGGCCAAAACGCCAGTACTTTGCCTCTTCATTCCGCTGACCTCCCCATCTCCTGTCGCCCCTGGCTTGAACCTCTCTCCCAGCGGCAGCGCTCTCCCGTGGTCATACGGGTCTTCAACGTCAGGCTGCAGCTTCCACTGCTCCACTGAACAGTTCTTGCCGACATGCCCGAGATCACCTCTGTGGCTAAGTCCTACTCGCTGTCACTCACACACTCAACACCTGAACCACCCATCACACCCTCTCCCCCAGGGCCTCCTCTTCCTGGCATCTGTGACCCCACACCCTCGTGTTTCATTCTACCCCGAACTGGAGAATGCCCTGTACAATTTGGGGAAAGACAGCTAAGAAAACCCTAAGGGGCTCTAGTTCACTTTCAAAGACCACAGCAAACTGAGTCATTATAACAGAGTTAAAGAAGCCAAACACAGCCACAATTCCAATGTCATAACTGAGGAGCTTCTTGATAATAGCACGTGTTATCATTTACTGAAACCCCCTTCTGTCCACAGGTGGGACAGCACTGCCCGGCACCCAGGACTGGAAAGGAGGAGCTTTCAAGGGGACCGGGCCTGAGCCCGCCAAGTGCACCCATCAACTTCCTGTGGTCCTTACCACGCTGGTCGTGTCTGCAGTTTTCTTAGGGACATTGATCAGGTCACACTTCTTGTTTGCAGTGGGCTTGCTATCTAGAATGTTCTTCTTGACCACCTTGAGGTCCCTGTTTTTGCCTGGAATGTATCCGTGCTTCAAGGAGATAAGGATTGGATCTGCGTTCTTCCCCTCAAACCACTCCTCTGCCTCCAGCGCTGCTTCGGGCCCTGCAGTGTCCGGATATAGGTCATCTTGGAAAAGGTCCGACTATAGGAGACATTTTGGGGAAACCCTTAGGTTAGGAAGAAGAAAGGTCGGAGATTTTTGAAAACTTTTTAAAACATAGATTGCTTAGAAAACTGGGCACTCACCTTCCTGGGAACAGTCATGATAATAGGCTCACACTTTCTCTCGTGAAGTTTGAAGAATCTTCAAAAGGGGAATAAAGACAAAAGTCGCAATAAGTGAAAGAGAAGTCCAAGTATCAAACAGGCTCAGTGACAACCACTTTTCTACAATGCTGTATGGAGAGGACATGCTCTGTCCGCGTCCTCGGCGGCCCCACCCCCAGAGAAGGCAGCATTTAGCACTCCCAGGTTACAGATGAGAAAACGGAAGCTGAGAGTATCTACACTAGGAAACGACGCACTGGAGACAAGAACCAGGAGTAGGCTATGCATGATGGTGACAGTCAAATTCCAATGATCTGGGGACAGATCAGCCCTGCTGGAAATGATACCACCACCACCAATGATTTATTTGTGAAAAATTACCAGGTCCACAGACAGGAAGGAATGAATACCTACATATCAAATAGTATCTATGACTTGGATGCCAGGTCTTTGGCCAACCTGAGGTGGTCAAACATTTTTAAGTATAAAAACGATTTTTTAAAAGAAAAAGAAAACAATCCTAGGAATTAAAATTTTGGCATTCAAGCAAGCCCCAACATACTTAACACTAAAAAAATTTGAAATTATCCCAAATATGGCAAGAGTAGGAACATAAAGCATGAAACCTCTGCAGTCAGTACAGTGGGAAAAAAGGCGACGTGGGTTTGACAGCCAGCTCAACTACTCCAGTGCCTGAGCGTGTAAGCACCTCGCCCTCATGGTCCTCATCCACGCCACGGAGGTAAGAGTAACACCTGCCTCAGGGGGTTGTTAGGAGAGGTAAAAGGGGTAACCCATGCAACAAGCTATGCAGTGCCTGGCATGTGATGAATGCTCAAGAAACAATAAATAGGAGAGGTCCTGAATGATTTTATGGCTTTTTAAACTTTTAGGTGACAATAAAATAAACATGTTCCCAAATACTGAATATAATCTTAAATTCAAATTCAATATATTTTGAAGCACATTTTGATTAGTTTAAACCATAATTTTGAATTATCTGTGAGAGCTTTCCTTTATCACTCCAGCTAGAGAGAGCTGAATGTATTTAAAAAACAAAAGAAAACCATACTGCTTAATATAAAAAGGGCTTTAAAAGTCTTGTTTCTAAAGATGTGTCAATTATTTAAAAATTGTGTGACCCCCACAGAAATGCAGTGTTACATACTGTGTACTAGGGTCCTAGCCTGATAACATGCTGCTACTTGTTCTGTTTTCTTTTTAAGATTTTATTTATTTTATTTCTAGACAGAGGGGAAGGGAAGTAGAAAGAGAGGGAGAGAAACGTCAATGTGTGGTTGCCTACTGGGGACATGGCCCACATCCCAGGCATGTGCCCTGACTGAGGATTGAACTGGCGACCCTTTGGTTTGCAGGCCAGCGCTCAGTCCTCTGAGCCACACCAGCCAGGGCTGGTCTGTTTAAAATGGCCAGAGTATCTTATGTTGACTAGTATGATAAAAGAGCCTGCCCCTTAGGAAGCCCACTAGCACTATGGAATATAAATTTTTTAAAAATCCAGAGCAGTATAGAGAGGTGGGGATTCTATAGTACTTCCCACATCAAGTGACCCCAGCCCAACACTCTACTGTAGGTCTTTGCCTTCTCTAGTTTAGGATCCACGGGGTCCACAATCCACTTTGGAACCTGGTTTGTCCCTTCACAGGGCAGGAAAATCATCCCTTATTTCCCCCTCAGGGGCAGGCTCTCCCCTGCTTGCCTCCCAGGAGACGCTGGCCACAGCCTCAGCCTGAAGACAAGAGATGACAGTTTCATTATTCAAACAAGTGTTCAATACATGCAGGCTAAGCCACTTAACCGCTTCACGTCTAGCTATATACTCTGAAGAATGGACAGGGGCGTAGTTAGATTAAATGATTTGGAAAGGTTTCTCCGTGCTCTGAAACTCCATGTCTCTATGTATAGGCAGGAAATGAGGCACTAATTCTATACCACACACAAGCATAGAAAAGACCCAAATGTCAGAGAATTACAGATTTTGTTGTGTTGCTCTTGTAGAACATAGACAGTATAAACAGTTTCAATACTTTATCGTGCCGATTCTTTACCTGGCAATCTCACATTTGTTAACATCGAGCCCCCTCTTGGGCATGTAACCCATCCCTCTCTGAGGCTCCTTGCTGCTGAACGTGTTGAGGTAGTGGACATATGGGGATTCATCCGTGATCTCAAAATAGCGGATACTGCTGTCACCCTACAAGAAATCAGGGACAAGTTTGTGTTTACTGTTAACATACCTGATTTAAGCGGGTATCTCTCCCCCCATAAAGCCAGCATTAATTAGCACTGGCTTTAATTAATTAAAAGACAGCGGCTGACTTTTCTTCCTCTCAAGAGGCTTGCCTAAAGCACCCAGCGGTCCCTCGCCCTGGCAGACAACGCCCTCCCCTATCGAACACCAGCATGCCCTTTAAACAGCCTCCTCTGCCCCCTGCTGAAGGCTCAATGTCACTCCGCGGAGTCCAGGCACTGAGTCAGAGTCAGGACACAACTGTGGCCGCCTCGGCCAAATGACTGCTCTGCAATTCAACTTCAAAAGGCAAACGAAAGACCAGGAGGACTGTTGAGAGGGCAACTACTGGTCTGACTTACAGGTTCACTGGCACCGAGCAGTGTTGTTCAGAGACCTGAGGGCACTACTGACAGTCAGATAATAATAAAAACTAAGATTTTCCTAACTGAGACACTTTAGTTGTATTTACTTTTACAAGGTTTAGTATCTCATCACAATGTATAAAATTCTATAATAATCTTGCTTAGAATGGTCAGATTTTTTTGAGATCTGAGGCATATGCTGGTCTCTCTAAGCAGAAATAACTCACACAGTTAGACGAACCTGAACAATGAAGGCAATTCTGTAGAATTGGTAGAAGATGTAAATATACATATGGAGACACACACTCACAGGAAGACATACATGGCTAGGCAGTACCACACCCTAACAATCCTCTCTGTCTTCATGATTTCCATTTGTTTCAATCATATAAATAAATATCTAAAGCAATGGGGAAAAAAGCTAAACACATACTATTTGTTATTTGCATACTAAAAATAATTTTCCACCTAGTGCTAATAACATGTGGGTAACATGTCTTTTTGTTTGTTTTTGATGCATCTATGGCAGCTGCTAATATCTGAAGGAAAATGACTTTCAAGGAAACAGACAAGATCTCCATTTCTAAGTAACTGACCTATAAAAATGTAAAGCAGCTCTGCAGCACGCTCCATCGACCATGAAAAGAAGTGAAACATCCCCGGCTTTCCCCAGCAAAGGGTATCCTACAGGTCTGAGGGACTGCATCACTCCATTTTTATTAATTCACTTATCCAACTGTATACCTTTCTACGGAAAAAAGCTACAAAGTAATAATATTGAGGTTACTACCTACTAAAATAAAATAATAATAATAATAATAAAGCCACCACTAGTTTAGTTAGGTGGTGGCTTTATTAGATCTTTCCTCCAGATCACTAAGCAGGAGGAAAGCTTTTTTTTTTTTATTGCAGTGTGGGGTCTTCCTGTAACAACTGTCACTTCCTGAAGCTTTAATCAGGCCACAGGTTTTCAAACCCAGGGCTCTAACACTGAACTCCAGGGACAAGAACCCTGTGGAGAGTCTTTGAGGCCCTGAAAAGCTCACATCCCCAAAACACCCTTCTTTTTAAGAGTGCATGGCATGTAATAGTAAGTACTAAATGCCAATTGAGAACCATTCAGATTTCAGCATTAGATGTGGCGAACTGGTTACTCATCCCTGATACCAATTAAGAGAAATCTAAAATCACCAACCACACAGCACTACCAGGTGAATATAAATTACCAGCATGTAAAAATACATACATACATACAAACAAAAACACAAACAATAAAAATAAAAAATAAAATATGAAAAGGAAAAAACAAAACGAAACACCAGCACACACTCTTTATCTCACTAGACAGAGTACCTGAGCAAAGATTTCCCTGCCGGCATTTGCCCCAACATCCTCACCCCAATCCCTGCTTCGGTCAAAGGTACTGAACAGGGCATGTTCTTACCACCAACTGGCAAGTTACACACTGTCCAGTCTCACTTAAAACATAACAAAATCATCTGTCTTTATTTTAGCTTCAGACACACATATCAAATTAATTAAAATGACACAGTACAATGCCCCTCTACTAAATCTCTGAAGAATACACTTTTCCTCCCACAGGATTAAATTTAATATTCAACATCCAAATTACTGCTTACCTTTCCACATAAGTAAATGATACTGGTGTCAGGGTCATAGAAAGGCAGCAACACCCCATTGCTAGTGTCCATTTCATGAAGAGCAATTGGTTCCTGCATGTTTTTCTGGAAAAAAATAAAATACACGAACACATACACACACTTTAAGGGTCAATTTTTGTAATCTTACTATGCATTCTTTTATCTCTAATTAAGCTATTTCCCTAGAATAATGAAAGTGTGAACAATGCACCTATGATATTCATACATGTAACTACCAACAGGGATTCTAAATGGGATCCAACCCACTGAAAATTATGTTGATGTGACAACATAATTAATGCACACGTCAGTGTGATTCTAGGACAAAGAACTCCCTTCTCCTTTGTGACTTTTTTTTAGAAAAGGACTTTTTTCTTTTTATAAAATAAATATATGTTCTTTAAAAAGTTACATGAAAAAAACAAAAATCATCTCATGTGCCATCATCCCACAGAAACAATACCATTTTGGCCTATTTCCTCCCAACGCACGTACACACACAGCCAGGGATCATAACATATGTGCAGTTTAGTATTTTTTCCACTTCTACTTTTTTTTTTTTTTTAAGATTTTATCTCTTTTAATTTTAGGGAAATGGAAAGGGAGGAAGAAAAAGAGGAAGAGAAACATCAATCAGTTGCCTCTTGTACATACCACGGCCAGGGACCAAACCCACAACCCAGGCATGTACCCTGACCAGGAATCGAACCAGCCACCTTTCGCCTTGCAGGAAGATGTCCAATAAACTGAGCCACACTGGTCAGGGCTCCACTTATTTTTTATAAACTGTAGCTAAGTTTAAAACTCATGTCGCAGGTCTGGATTCCTCATGTATTCTTTTAAAAAATATAACCAACATAGACTCCTTGGGAGCATCACAAACACATTTTTGAAAGACATTTAGCAAACAGTCTCTAGTGAGGATGAGAACTTCCCATCCAATTTAAGACAAGTGGGAGTTCAGAAAACTATCCTAAGGACCCATAATCTATGTAGCAGCCCAAAGACTCGTTTAGAAAAGAGAGAAAGCTCAGGGTTAGCCGGAGGAAAGGCTGGGACGGGGCATACCGGAGTCCAGAGAGCCAGCTGCCGCTCGCTCATGCGGCTGAAACCAGTGGTGAAGACGTTGCCGTCAGCCAGAAAGATGGCTCTCATGGGCCGTGCTCCCTCATGCGCTTTCTCCTTTTCCTGGAGGACAGAGAGCAAAGGGGCACATGACACACATTCACACTACAGAAAGGAAGGTAGGATGGGAGGGGACCCATATACCCAACCAGACCCTGCATGCCATTCATGGTAACGGGGTGTGTGTGTGTGTGTGTGTGTGTGTGTCTGTGTGTGTGTGTCTGTGTGTGTGTGTGTGTCTGTCTCACATTAATAACCATCTCTCCTCCCCAGATGAGGAAAGAAGGAGACACTAAACAATTTGGCCAAGATCCCTCAGCTTAGGTTAGGGCTTGACTCAAAAGCCTCAATCCTTCCACCATGCCTTGCTGCCACCCAAGTCCATGCACTGCAAAAACGAAACACATGAGAGCGCTCCACCAAAAGTCCGTCTCTCAAGAGGATAATAACCTTAAGGTTGATATGCCCTACAGGTACCAATTTCACAGGACGGGCAGTCTAGTCTAGTTAGCACCTTCCCTAACCTTGTCTGTTCAATGAGGGCACTAGTACCAAGCCCTAGCAGGGCCAGTGAGCCCCCATGCTTGATGGGTCCTGGATACAATTGTTGCCCAACTCTTGAGAAGCACTACAGTCAAAGAACCCCCACATCTCTGAGAAGGGGAATTTAGGACCTCAGAACGGGGCTGAAGTGAGGCATTCTTGGACTCAACACTTGCAGTATCAACCCTGATTAAAGTCCCAAATGTCCATCTTTTATCAGGGGTGATTTTGTTGAGGCCTCATTTAGGTGGCAGAAACTAAGACACTGAGCTAATGAGAGATCGTGCTGCATCTTTGTGAGACACTGTAACAGTCATTTTTGGAACAGGGTTGGAATCAATTAATCAATATTCAGCACTAAGCCATGAATGCAATTAACTGTTTGGGTTACCTGATCTAGACATGTCACCTCTTAAGGATTCCAGTGAACTGATAAAAAACTTTATTTCTTTGCGAAAAGTGGTCACCAAATGAGAGACAAGACGTGGGTAAAAGCTGGAAATGGACAACTCTGCAGAGAAACATGACTGAGAGACAGTCAGAGGCTTGTGCAAGCCTTTTCTGATTCAGAGGCACCTGCACCCAGCAAGGGCCCACTGCCCAGCAGCCCCTCTGTGGCCTGCCTTAAAAAGCAGGCAGTTCACACACACTCAAGTGCTACAATTACTGGGGGTTTTGTCCAAAGAACACTTACAGCAACAATCTCTTGTTTCCTAGGATCGATCACTCTCACTTTCTTGTCTTTGGAGGCCGTGCAGATCAGGCTGCCATTTCGGTTCCAGCTTACGTTGTAAATCATGTCCGAGTGCATATCATCCAGGTTTATCAAGGCTTCCCCGGTCCCCACGTTCCAGATGATGATGGCATTATCACAGCCTAAAAGCAAGCACAACCACACCCCTCAGGTGTTAGAAATACCTGTACAACACATTTGTGAAAACTACAAAGACATGCATTGACAGAAAGGTGCTGACAATAGGCCCCACTTAACTAGGAGTTAAAAACTGAAGTGACCAAAACCAAACAAACAAAAAGACATTTGTGTACAAGAAATCAGTGTTAAAGGAAAAATACAATGTGTTAAGTCTGGGTTTGTATGAAACAAATAAAACCACCACCAAATGAAACAAAGAACTGCAAGAAAACAGAATCTTATTTTTTTAAAGATGTAACTGGGCTAGTGGATCCCAAGTAATTGTCAGTTTCCTTTTCTAGTAAAACAAGCATCAGAATGAATACAGCTCACTTCTCCAGAGGAACTAAAACTAAAGAGCTTAAATAACTGTTTAGGACACTCAACAAAGGTGGTAGATGGCAGGCTATTCAAATCAATGATGCTGTATAACAGTGGTTTTGGATTAAAAGCACAGCAAATTACAATAAGTTTAAGGGAAATGCAAGGACTGGTCTAACCGTTTACTCACAACAGATCTTAATCTTTAAAGGGGAGAGAAAATAGGCCAAGACTGGCCTGATTTGAGAAGCCCAAACTAACCACATGGGCACGTGGATTAAGAAACTGTCCCCCAAGAGGCTACACTGCTGACTCAGCCACGACCCCTCGAGAGCTCATCAACATCCTTCCTTCAAGGGTAAGCCCCAAGTCCCTGAGGCCCTTTAAAAAGAGCATTATTTGTTGCTTCCAGGACATCATCTCAAGGATGAAGGAAAAAAAAGGGATTTTTTTCCTTGTGAATTCCTGAAAGTGAATTCTTGCCAATAAACCAATTATGCAAGCACTTTAGGAAAATCAGACACTAATATCCAGAACACCTAAGTTACCCAAGAGTGAGAAGTAGGAAATGGTGGAAAAACTACACAACAGTATGAAAGTTGGAGTGGAACTCTGGGGTGGAGATGTGACCCTTCCTCTGCCTTCTTCATCACAGGCAAATAGGTAACTTCAGCCACCAAGGATGGATCACGTAGTCTTAAAATATGCAAAACACTGCAACCAACCATTCTCCTTTGCTTGTAAAGGGGAGCAAGGGGATCAGTCTGCTGATAATACCGTTAGTTCGACCTCAATGAGAAGAGGAGCGGAAATTTTCCACGATGGAATTCCACCTTTGGAATTGTTTTCTCTCCTTATCAGATGGAGGTTCTGAGTAGAACACTGGAAAGGTTCCCGGGTACAGTCAATTGTGATTTTAAAAGAAGAGAATCCTACATACTGTCTTTTTGAAAAGTAGTCCTTGGTTTCAATAGGTATCTGGCATTAAATTTTGTATATAACTCATTTACATCAAAAATATCCTTTATTCCCAGTTAAAAACTGAACTGCCCCCTCCTTTTCACTGGTCAAGGGAAAGAGCTTTAAAATTCTACCACTAACATTAGAATTCCTTTTTTTTAAATAAACCAATTTTACTAAGGTATAATATGCATACAACACAATGCACCTATTTGAAGTATATATTCATTAAGTTTTGACAAACATATATATTCATGGAGCCACCAGCACAATCAAAATAGGACATTTCCATCACCCCACAAGTTTCTTCTTGCCCTTTGTACTGCTTCTCTAAAAGAAGATAAAATCTAAAGTGGTTTAAAAGTGAAAAATCAGAAACAGCCTCAAAATCCAGAAATAAAGGACTGATTTAAAAAAACTGAGGTATTCCAACAATGGACTATTAATGGAGTCATTAAAAATATCATAGGAAGAACATTTAATGTCATATGAAAAAGACCACACGTGCAAAGTCTCTGAATCTATCTTTGTGTTTAACACTTATGTGTGTGCACAGATATATCTTCTGGAAAAAAAAACACCAAATGGTAATAATGATGTTCCCTCTGGGTGGCGGGATTACAAGTGATTTTTCTTTTCTTCCTTTTATTTATATGTATTCTTTATGACATACGCATACTACTTGTAGAAGGAGAAAAATGAAAGTATTTTTTAAAAGGAAGAAAGATATTTGCCTAACAGGACCCCCCTGAAATTGGCAGCAACACGAGAGCTGGAACCCAGGGCTCCTGGTTCCCAACTGGGTTCTGTCCACTCCATCAGGAATAACTAAAACTGTGGTCCAGGGTGGGCCCCAGCTGGAACTGTGGACCTGCTGAAATTACAGGCAAGTAAGTATGTATCTGTTCACTCTTCTAAGCTGGAAGTCTTTATCTCCCAGCAGACTGTCAAAGTAGCCTTGACACGTGCACAAACAGGTTGGGGAACCACTGCATCTCAGCACCTCATCATGGATTCCTAAGGATCTACTTCAAAACTGCTTAGAACTCAATCAAACACACTTGCTGCTTCCCTCCACAAAAAAGGATGCAAGAAACAACAACAAGGGGCAAAGACAGGACTGTGCTGCTCCTACCTGCGCTGAGAAGCACGTTGCGGGCTGTCGGGTGCCAGGCGACTATGCCCACTCTCTTTGAGTGGCCTTCTAAAATCACCACAGGTTCGGTCAGGGAAAGAGTGAGTCCATTTTCTGGAATCTGCCACACCTGTTGGAAAAAGAAGAGAAAGATGATCCACCTTTCATTGTCACGTTTACAGAGATCATCCCGTGTGAAGACTCGCTCTGCATAAACAGAACATGCAAGAACGGTCTTTGGATGAAATGCAAAATAATATGAAATGACTGTGTACAATTGTTTTTAAAAATGTAGTAAGATATTAAAGATCAAGATATCTATAAGGCCTACAAAATGTTACCTCTCCACTTTTATTAAATATTCGTTAAGATTATATTTTAAATTCCCTGTTAAGTTCAAAACTACCCAGTCAGAAGCATGCAAAAACCAAACAAACAAACAAATTGAAGCATCCCTGAAAAGCAGCAGCTGGTGAGACCCCCTGGCTAAGTCCATTGTTCCTGATGAAAGAGCAAACACCAACCACTAAGGGCTCTTCCTGAACGGTGCAGGTTTTTTGTTTTTGGTTTAATGTTTATTGATTTGAGGGAGAGAGGAAAGGGGAGAGGGAGAAAAAGAAACATCAATGTGAGAGAAACATCGATTGGTTGCCTCCAACACATGCTCTGACCGGGGATCAACTCTGCAACCTAGGAATGTGACCCAACCAGGAATCAAACCCCCTACCTTTTGGTGTTTGGGTCAACACTCCAACCAGCTGGGCCATACCAGCCAGGGTAGGTATGGCACAGTTTTAAAAAATATTATATTCTCTACAATTTTACATTTGGAAAATAAAAATATACCTAATAGTTTTGTAATATGTATCACAGAAAACCAATCTTACAAAAGCAAAAAAAAAAAACCAAAAAAGATACTGTGGACCTTATCAAAATTAAAAACTTTTGTGTTTCAAAGGACACTTTCAAAAAAGTGAAAGACAACCCACAGAAAGGGGGAAAATTGTCTGTAAATCATATACCTGATAAGGGACCTCTATCTAGAATATTAAAAAAAACAAACAAACAACTTTTACAACTCAGAAAAGAAGTTCAGCCTTTATAGTCATTAGGGAAGTGGAAATCAAAAATAAATAAAACATCACTTCACACCCACTAGGAGGCTGGAATACAAAAGACAGATGATAACAAGTACTGGTGAGGATGCAGAGAAATCAGAGCCCTCATACAGCGCTGGTAGGAACGTAAAACGGTGCAGCACCAGGTAAAGCAGCCTGGAAGTTCTCCAAATGGTTATACACAGTTATCATAAGACCCAGCAATACCACTCCTAGGGAACCTACTCAAGAGAAATGAAAAATATATGCCCACCCAAAACATGTACATGAGTGTTCATAGCAGCATTATCTGTAATAGCCAAAAGGTGAAAACAACCCAAATGTCCAGCAACTGATAAATTAATAAACAAAATGTGATATACCTGTACAATGGAATTCTATTTAGCCATAAAAGGAATGATGTACTGTCCTGGCCGGTGTGACTCAGCTGGTTAGAGCATCATCTCGTAAACCAAAAGGTGGCGGGTTTGATTCCTGGTCAGGGCACATGCCTAGGTTACAGGTTCAGTCCCCAGCCAGGCCGTGTACAACAGGCAACCAATTGATGTTCCTCTCCCTCTCTCTCTCCCTCCCTTTCCCTCTCTCTAAAATCAGTAAGCATGTCCTCAGGTGAGGATTAAAAAAAAAGCCATTACTAAGGAATGAAGTACTGATACATGCTACAACATGGACAGTGCTTGAAAATATGCTAAGTAAAGAAGCCAGTCACAAAAGACCACATGTGGTAGGGCTCCGTGTACATGAAAAGTTCCAAATTGGAAAAGATATAGAGAGAGAAAGTAGATTACTGGTTGCTCAGTGCTATGGAACTGGGGGCATGGTAATAGCTCAAAGACATGGGGATTCTTTTGAAGGTGGTGAAAATACTCTAAAAGTGTCTATGATGATGGTTGTCCATATCTATAAATATACTAAAAACCACTGAATTGTACAGTTCAAATGGGAGAACTGTATGTGATTTTATCTCAATAAAGCTGTTTTAAAATTCCCCTTGATGGGTGAAAACTCAGATGATTCACCATATCTTAACTGGAGATATGCCTGGGCAGCAAGGGAACCAAGAGCATAGAAGAGCAGCAGAATACGTTCAACAATGGAAGGCCCGGGTTTTAGAGCACTTAAGAACCACCTTCTAAGAAGAAAGGGACTGAGTCACAGCTAAGCTGAATAGAAGAACCCTGTAGAAAACCAGATATTAAGCAGTATTTAAGTTTGTGAAAAAGCTCAGATGAAAAGTAATTATCTTATATATGAAGATTAAAATAGGTAATTTACCAGCAAAAAGAAAAAAAAAAGATTTTAAGGAACTAGTTCATGAAAAATTTAGAACTTGCCAGTCAAAAACCATGCTCAACAGTGGAACAAGTGAGACACAGAATTTTCCTTTCTTGGGGATTTTTAAGAAGCAAACAACTGTCTGTTTTCAATTGCTTAGTGAAAGAGAGAGAGCAGGATCAGCTGAGTGTTTAGGGTTCAGCTCAATTCTGTTGTCACACAAAAAAATTAAAACAAAAAGTGTTCCATTCTGAAGAGTGGGAAAAGTCATGAGTCAAGTGAGTGTTCATTTTTACAGCTAAACACAACCCCTTATGCAAATCATGGCAAAATAAATATGGCTTTTGAAGCCCAAGTTTAGGATGTCACCTAATTTTCCCTGAACCCTCATTCAGCAAAATTTAAACAAAACATGCAAAGAAGCAGAGAAGACAACAGAAAACCTACCTTGCCTCTCTCTGTTCCTCACCCAGACCATAGCCTGTCCCCTGGGAGACTGTGGGCTTCCCCTCCCTCTCCCCACCTGCCTAGCATTACATATGCTTTCATCCTGATATGCACTATTTTTATTCAAGGCTCTATAATTAGTAAAACAGTTCTAAATTGAACTTGGCTATCTGAAAATAAAGGAAGGCTGAAATTTTGAACAGAACGAAGAGGAAATGGCCACTAATTTGATCAAAGCATGAAGTCGGCGGAGAAACTCTTGAAATGAGACTTGAGTGACTCAACAGGAAATGCATCCTGCAAGATGAATTCTGACCCAGGCTTCGAGCTGAAAGAGTGGGAATACCACCTGCCACCTCCAGATGGCATCATAACCACAGGCTGCTGGGTTTTCTGGCAATGATTGATTGCAAAACCTTTGTGCCTGACTGAGCACGATTAAGTAAATAGTGTGCTTTCTAAGTCCCTAATGAAGCATGGAGTGATGGGACACTTTGGTTATAATCAGCATTTCCAGACTAAATATTAGGATGGAAGCAGAGCTCATCAAGAGAAGCAGAGCCCTTTCTCTTGCTTCTTCAGCTACATTTTCTGTGGATTGTGAGGAAATTTTAATGCTGAAGCAAAACTCTTAGAACTTTTTTACCTAAGAACATTCTTTTCCTTCTATATGTCACTTCTGGAAGATTCGATGGTTCCTTCAACTAGGTTCATGCATTAAATGCAGGCACCTAACCCATTTTACTACCTTGGTTACTCATGCATGCAACACATTTCTTGAGTATTCACCATGATCACTTACCAGGCAAGGTCATTACCTGGCAAGGTGGGAAAGGGTGAGGAAAGCAGAAACTGCTATGAGACCGAAAACCAAAGACAGCAAAGACAAAGGATGTGGCACACAGGGCTGGAGCATGGGCTCTGGAGCCAAACAGACCCTAGTTCAAATTCTGCCCAGGATGCTTGCTGTGATGGTCCTGAGCCCACAACTCAACATCACTGTGCACACAGGCAATGGCAGCACCTGTACTTCCTAGGGCTGCTGTGAGGATTAAATGAGTTAATAAGGCCCTCAGAACAAGACTTGGCATATACAATCAGTGCCCCCAAAACGCAGAGACAGCACACAGTGCAAGGGTTAAGAACATGGGCTCCCAAACTAGAACAGACTCTTCAAGTCCTGATTCAGCTACACATCACCTGTATGACCCTGGGGACTTTCACCTAACCTGTCTGGGCCTTAAGTTTCCTCACCTATAAAATGGAAGTAATAACACACCTGCCCTTGCTGAGTGTAAAGCGTTTAAAATAATGCCTGGCAGAAGGCTGGCTCTGGACTAGTGCTACCTGTTGCTATTTCAAGGAAGCCACACAGTCTATGTAACCAAGGCCTCGCTGGTACAAGCCAGGTGCTCAAGAAAAATACAAGTGTCATGAGACTACCTTCTCACTGTTCAAGATTGCTATGTCCAGGAGGGCTCTCTAGGAAGATGACCTCTAAGGACAAAGAGGAATCTGGCAGGAGGAAGAGGGAAGGAAGGCAGGGGATGAGGAAGGAAATCAAAAACACAGATGCATATAGCAATTTTCTAAAAAATGAATGCCCCAAGGAGGCTGGCTGAGCAGCTGACAGGAAAAAGGCCAGAGTAACAAAGAGCACAGGCACAAGGATTTACAGCAGGAGGAGAAAGGGACTGGAAAAGCCTGTGAAATTAAATGAAAAGACGATGGAACGCTTGCCTCTGCTGGTAAATAAAGGTGGTGTTGTTCTCCACTGTGGCTGTGGAAAAGAGCCGGCAGAGCTGTAAGTCTTTCCACATGAAGCACACACACCCCATGATCGGTGCCCGCTGGCCCTACTCACAGGCCTGTCATTATGTGGCTCTTTGCCCTTGTTAGGACTGTCTGCTGCTTCCGGGCACTGGCCTTCCAGTTTGAACTGAAGAGGTCTTGCTTTCTGCAGCACCAGGACAACAAAGAGCAAAAGTGCCACCCAGTACGAGTTTAGTGTTCTTGTGTGCAACTTGGGACCCAGCCTGGTGTGGCAAAACAGGCGCTGGCCTGGGAGTCCGAAGATACACGGGCTCCTGGTCTCCCATCAGAGCTGGGACAGTCATTGGGCTAACTGGACATGTTAGCATTAAAAAGGGACTTCACAGCCCTGGCGCTGCAGCTCGGCTGGTGAGAGCACCCTCCAGATGTGCCAATGGTGCCGGGTTTGATCCCTGGCCAGGGCTCATACAAGAATCACCCAATGAGTGCAACGACAAGTCAATGTCTCTCTAAAATC